GTTGCCAGCAGGTGGGAGATGATCCTTCACTTCTACTCAGCACTGATGAAACATCTGGAGTACTGGATCCAGTTCTGGGTTCCCCATTTCAAAGAAACATGGACATACTGGAGTTAGTCCAGCAACAGGGATTGGACCATCTGTCATAGAAGAATAGGCTGAGAGAGCTGAGACTGTTTAGCCTCAAGAAGAGACGTTTCAAGAGGGATCTTATCAATGTGTATAAATACTTCATGAGAAAAAGTATAGAATATGTCACCAGAGTCTTCACTGCTATCCAGTGAAAGCAGAAGAGGTAACGGGTACAAATTTAAAAACAGAAAATTTCATTTACAATTAAGAAAAAACTTTTTCCCTGCAAAGGAAGTCAAACACAGCTACAGGTTGCGCAAAAAGGTTGTGGCGTCTTCACCCTTATGATATTCAAAACCCAGACTGGCATGGCCCTGAGCAACCAACTGTAGTTAACACTGCTTTGAGCAGAGGATTGGACTAGTAGATCTCCAGAGGCATCTTCCAACCACAACTACTCTGTGACTCTATTGTTCTTCACTGTCTAAAACTGAACTCAATTTTTTCACCTACCATGTCTGAAAGCAAATCTGTACTGAGCTTTCCCTCAAAATTCCTTAACACCTGACCAGTTCTATCACTACTGGGTATGACTTAAAGAGATTAAAAATAAGGGGAAAAAAATGGCTTTTTCAAAGGAAACATATGTAAAAACTTTGGCAACTGCAGGAGAGAAAGGATTTAAATACATCTGAGGGACGTATTTAAAAAACACCCACATAACAGAGTCCAAAGACTCATTAACCCCAGGCCATAGGAGAGAGATGCATTTTTAGCAGAAAAAGAGAGTCAAAAGAGGCCAACTAGATAGCAACAAACTTATTCTAAAACCCATTGGGTTAAAGAGAGCAGGGAAGCTACAAAGTTCTACCTATTTTGTACTCCTAAAGGCTCTCTTTAGAGCCTGGCCAAACTTTTTTCTAGAACTGGAAGGAAGGTACTTTCTGGGCTTTCCCATGATAGAGGAGCACTTTAAGAAAAATAAATAAATCAAGAAATCAGTTCTTTACCTGAGATGACACACCATGATATATCATGTTTGTGTCATCTCTGCCTTCAATTCGACAAACTACCACAAACTGCATCAAAGATGAACTTATGCCATTTGATCATAAGCCACAAAGGGTTCAGTTCTGTTAAGCTTTCAATCAAGGCTGAAGAGCAGACATCGTGAAGATTTGTGAGCATGGCATGCGTAGAGCCTGCATTCTCATTCAGTCAAAACTAATCAGACCTTTCAAGCAACCTCTTTCTACTCCTGTTTATACAT